AACCCAAGAACTAAACACAAATGGGGAAAGCAACAAGCCTCAACATACCATTTAGCTCTGCTGCTGACAGAGACCCTTGCCCCATCAGCAATTCTCTCCCACACTCCCAGAGCAGGACTCTGCCATCTCAACAGAGCCTGGCAGTCCCACACCAGCTCCGCTCTGACACGCTGCATGAACACCTGGCCACTACGGCCCCATGCCCCATTTGCACACAGACATGGAGCCTATCTAGACAAACACCTGTGATGTCGCAGACATGGAGCTGCATTTCTGCTAACTCCAGACCCCTTGTGTGATTCCAGACTCCCGCTGCAAGTGATTGTAACACTCCTGTGAATGGGTTACAGCTGGCAGCAGCCCAGACGGGTGGCCAGGAGGCTGGAACAATTTGTATGGTGGGGGTGCTGATGATGGGAACCATGTATTTGGTGTATGTTATTACTACTTCAAGCCAGGGGCTGCAGCAGCACCCCCTAGTTCCAGGACCACTGGAGGTGGCATGACACCATGCAAGGCAGACTCCTGCACCTTGCACCCCATTTTTAGTCTGCCAGGGGGCACCACCCTCCCAGAGGTCCCTCCTCTGCAGGCTGTGTCAACATGCAAACTAATTCTTTCCCTGCAACTAAACAGGATGAACAGGCTCAATTAGATTAGCTTGAATTATATCGGATCAGGAACAGCTGTGATGGTGAAGTTAAATCCCAGCTGGACTCTCCTTGGGCTGCTTGCTCTAGGGAGGCTGGAAATCACTGAAGAGCAAGCACAGCCCTCCAGTGCCTCTAGGGACTGCTGCCTAGGCATCTCCACTGGGCTCTGGGGTGACAGCATTAACACAGAACTCCCAGCCTGTCCCTAGAACTGAGCGCCTTCCTCCCGGCCAGGCTCAGGGGTGGAGCGTCCTGTGCAGAGAGCAGATGACCTCATCTCACATACTGTGCCTTTGATTGCTGCCCTTTCCTTTGTTCTTTGGTTAAAACTCGCACACTGTGCTGAGCAGACAGTCTGTGGATAAATGGAGATTTCCTGTGCATGCTCGAAAGACGCATTAGCTCATTTTCCAGTCTCTTCTTTAGCGCTGCTGTAAGTACCAGAGCAGAAGCAGCAGCCCTCTGCGAAAGCTCCACCTAGCCCCGAGGGAGGGGCCCTGGCTCTCACAATAATCCCATTGTGTGTGGGAGCCTGCGACCTAGGGCTCTGCTCCCCGTGTGGGGGGCTGCACAGAGCTTGGCACACCTGGAGCTTTCCCAGGCACCTCTTTGGGGACTTGGGAACAAGCTCCATTCGTGACGAATCCATGCCAGCCACGGAGCTGCAGGGCCATGTGCCATATTAACAACCCACCGGGAGCCCAGAAACTAAGGAATGGAAAAAAAATCACGATCATTCTGCTATGCAGAATAGGTTAAAAACAGGCTTCACTCCCATGCCCACTGCTCATCCAAGACAAGCAATCGCCCCACCCTGCCGACAACAGAGACAACCCTGCCCATCCCCTGACACTGCTGCACACAAGCCCCGCAGTGCTGGGGGCTAGGGGCCTGAATTCACCGGAGCAGGAAACCCACTTGCTGACACATTGCCAGCCCCATTGCATGCGCCAGGCTCTGTAAGAGCTACTGGAAAGCTCCTACTGCCAACCCGCAGGAAATCACAGCCATTGGTACCCAAACCACCCCATCTGCCCTGCAAACTCCACCTAGGGAGGGACACACTGGCCCCAGGTCTTTGAACTCTGCTGCTGGCAGCCGCCCCCCTCCCTCCCGCTGGGAAAGTCAGAGGCATGGATCTGTGGACCGTAGGGAAGGCAGCGCGGTGCGCTCCATAATCAGAGCGCTGCTCCACGCTCCCCTGCCGGCTTCCCTGGGCCAGTGTAGAGGAAGGGCTCACAAACAACCATGGCAGAGCGTTCAGGCCTTCTCCTCAAGGGACATTCCTCACTGCAGAATGGCACCCTGGCCCAGTCACTAAGGGACAGAGCACTCCTGCCCTGCAGGTCACCAGACAGACAGACAGTGCAGCAGCTGAGATAACCACCTCTGGGTTCCAGGAAGGAGAGCAGGAGATGCAGCGTCACCCCTGGCAGGCAACGGTCCGTGCACACTCAACGCCCAACATCTGACTATTGCAGTTTCCCATCCTGGGGCAACGCTGTAAGTGACACGAGGTGGGCTCTCGGCTCACAAGTAGTTGATTGTGTACAGCATTCAGCAGCACTACAAGGGAGCTTGGCAGGGGATTTATACGGGAGCTGCTGACACTGAACAGAATCCGCTGCTACCCCAGATTGCTTTCAGGTTCCAGAGAGAACATGCAACTCAAAGCTCCCGGCAGATGGAGTGTCTGAGAGCTGGAAGGCCAGTGGCTGGCCGTGTCGTGCTCCTCGCTGAGAGGGTAAAATTAGCAGCCTGGCTGACGTTCCCTGTCTGGAACACCATTTGTTTCCAAGGTAAGTACCGTAAAGGCAGTCTGTGGTCTCAGCAGCCCCAGATCCCCAGCCAATGGCCTGGCTTTATGCTTTCAACTAAATGGCTAATTTATAAAGAGTCAGCAGCTAGCTGTTAAATGGCTTCTGGCCAGTCAGCTTTACTCCCCAACTTTACTAGTATAGTGAGACTTAAAAGAGCCAAAATGAAAGTGCAGGAACTGATGTCTGCCCCTCGTTGTGGAGAGTACAGACAGACACAGCCTAGGCTACACTGGGGACAGCACTACAGACCATACAGCCGTTAAAAATCTCTCCCCTTGTCACTTGCAAAACCCACCCCAAGGTGGAAAATGCCCATTCCCTGTGTACGAGCTGAATGCCCAGCAGGACATTTCCAGAGAGCAGGTATCTAGGGGCAGGGAATACTTTCAGACACAAGAGCATGTGCCTGTTGCCCAAAGCCCTCTAGACCCAGATGCAACAATTAAAACCAGCTCGCCAAAGTGTCTGCCTAAGAAACTCCCCAGACTCACAACTCTCACTGCCAAGAGCACAGAGTGGCGTCCCACAAGTACTAACCCCAGGCACTGGAAATGCTGCCATGCACCCATTCTAGCCAACAAACAGAACCTTCCGTCCCGATACCCAGAGCACTTCAGGATGCCCAGCTACTTAGATAGTGTCTTGCCCCAAGGAGCTCATCTCCTCTTTAGTGGCCAGTCCCAAGAGAGAAGAGATGGCTGAAAAAAATGGGAAAAACATTGCCAAAAAAATTCCAAATTGTTTCTGGTTTGCAGAGGTAAAGTGGACGCATTTTTCACAATATTGTAACTGAATTTTTTATTGAAAGTTTTTGACATTGTAATTGAAATTTTTCTTTATCCATAAGCATATGGTTTCAGTAAATGAAACATTTCCACAATAACTTGAATAAAACGGTTGATTAAAAAAATGCAGAAAATTGTATGAAAAGCAATAATGTCAACAATTTGTTGTGCTAGGTTTTGCTTTAGAAAAGAGCCCATCTTTGGGCAAAAAAAGTGTGTGAAAACACACACACACAGTGCTTGTCCTCCACAGATCTCACAAACACACACGGCTTGTCCTCCACAGATCTCAGAGCAGCGCAAGGGTGAGGAAGATTGGTATCACTATCAGCATTTTGCAGATTGGGAAGGTGATTTGCCCAGGGTCACACAACAAGTTAGTAGCTGAGCCAGGATTACGTCAGGGTCTTCAGACCCCCAGCCAAGATGTCTGCACTGCCTCTCTCTGTTTTATTCTGATTGCTAACCCCAGACGGGGTTCCCTGCTGCAGGCAAACTGGAGAGCACATATGAAAAAGCCAACCTGTCCCTGCTCACATGTGGATGCTGTGCCAGTGGCCCATACCAGAGCACTACACCAGTTTTATGGTTTGAGGCAGTTTCTCTCTCATTGCAGCAGGGGCCCCAGGAGCAGAGAGAGAGAGTCCAGCTGTTGCCAGACACTCAGGCTGGGCTGAAGCAAGCCGTGTGACCTCAGGGTACTTGTCTCATGCACCTGCTCCACCCCATTCTCCCGCACACGCTGCCATGGCAGAGAGACATGTGTCACATGAGTCGGCATCAGACAGCTGCCAGGGAGACGTGGGTCTCCGCAGGTAAGTACAGCAGCAGATACCTTGGAGCTACTGTATTTTCCACTTTCTCTAGGATCCCTGGCTCTGCACTCAGACCCAGCTACTCACATGGGGTCAAACAGCTCCATCACCAATTTTAGAGAAGGCACCTTAAAAGCGAAAGCAAAAGGAAAATGACAGCCGGCCCCGGTGCGAACATTCTGTGGGCCCCTCTGGCTCCAGCCAGAGAGGATCCTCAGACAAGGAGCCAAAGAAACTCAATAGCCCATTTGAAATGACTCATTTGCCAGCTGCCAGTGCCCGGCTCCTGTGACTGTCTGGAAACACGATTCTGTTGGCAAGGGCCACAAGGAAGAACAAAGTGACATAATGGGGCTCACATAAAACTCACTGACATCTTGGTTTGCAAGGCAGGGAGAGGGGGTGGGAAAGGGTGGTAAGTGCTGTCTCCCCAGACTCCTCTTTGCACTCACTGGCTATAGAGACAGACACTTCCCTCTGTCACGCTGCCAAGAACACTTAAGCTCCGTAAGAAGCCACTGAATGATCTGGCAGCCCTAAATCTCCGTGGAGAAACCTCTTCCTGATAAGATGGCTGGGCTTTGCTAGCTCCTGGGAGTCATTCATCCAGACGGAACTGGCGGTGTCGTCACCATCTCTGGGAATGGGAACGCCGGCCGCACGCATAGGTGCCCACCTCAATCCAAATGCTTGTGTGGCCTGTGACTCCACCCTCAGCCCACCTCGCCCAGGAGGGGCAGGAACAGCTCTTATGCTGGGGATGGGAGATGAGGCCAGATAGCCAGCTGTGTCTTTAGCACCCACTTTAATAGTTATGGAGCATCAAGGCAGCTCTGAGCTAGAAATATTCCCTGCCTCCCGGGGAACCCCCCCGAATCCCCAATAAAACCCCCCAACACACCCACCCACACACCCCAGCCACAGTACCTTGAGAGCCCGCCTCTTGTCAATGCAGTCAGGGTTTTGGCAGCGCAGAACCTTGTCCTCTGTTAGAGTCCGATCATCTGGAGAAGAAGGAGGAGGAAGTTAGCCATCACAGAGCGGGGTGGAAGGGACAGCCAATGGGCAGTGCTGTGCAGTCATTCCCAGTCTGGATTAGAGCTGGTGACCCCCAAGGTCACGGTCCCTGGAGCCAGCCAGCCCCAAGGGTCACACTGCTCCCCTGTGGACAGCAGATCTCTGCTGGAGAGAGACTGTGCTGTGAAGCCCAGCTCCCGTGGCTCTGTGCTGCAGTGACTAGGCAGAATGGCTTTAAACATAGGCCGAGGTTAGACCACCGTTTGCAAACTAGTTCCAGCAGAGCCTGGCTCCGTTCACTGTGGCCAAACCCAGCGACCCACGCCCTTGGCAGTGGGGGCGCCCACACTGGGTGCAGTCCTGGGGGGAGTGCTTCACACAATGGAGCTAGAGCCTAGCATGGGAAGCACCTTATGCTTCTCGTTGGTCACTGCTCAGAACTGGGAGGAAGGGAGCAGAAACCCACAGGGAACATTGTCGGAAGAGCGGAGCTGCAGCAGCAAACCTCCCTGAACTGGCTGACTGGAACAACGTGTAACAGTTACACACCCACACGCTTCCTAAGGGCCCACGGCCAGAGGCACCCACACTCGTGGGCACATTAGAAAGTGTAGGCTTACGCCATTTATTTTCAAGAGGGAGGGGGTGGGGACAGCTGAAGGAAGGGGGAGAAAAGGAACCAGACGCACGAGTACACCTGCCGGGGAGCTCTGTTCCTCATCACCAAGCAGTTTGCAAAGTGGGGCAGGAGCAATGGAAACTATTATCCTGCCTTATGAAGTGCCACTTCCCAACCCGATAAATGACACTGGAGACCCTCCAGAAACTTGAAACAACTCGGTCGGCTGCTCCTGTATTCGGAGCTCGACGTAAGGATTCTGAGCTGCCTTTAGCTACTGAGGTGGATCAGAAAGTGTCCACAAAGCACAAGTGATCCCCAAACCTGGACAGTTATAACTTCAGGGATAGATTTGTGCTAGTGGGACTGAGCCTGACTTCCAGCAGGGAGCCGACAGGATGGGAGTTCTCAGCTAATTAGGTATAACTGCAGCCTGTGCCTTCCCAAACCTTCATCTCTGTCCATCACTGTAGCACAGGGTACTTTCATACCACCCAATACCCAGAAGTGAGCCCAGATTGCAGCTCCTGGACTGTGCTCCAAAGGCAACTGTTGTCAATGCAGTAACTGGGGAAAAACAACCCTCCCCAAATTCATAGGGCAGAGATTAATCCATCTTTCGCTCTGAGCCTCCAAGATTGGCAACATGCAGAAAATTGAAGCCAAGTGGCAAAATTTGATCAACATGGCAATGGGCTGACAGGCTGCACCAGGTCGGTCCCTCTGCGGTGCTCTTTGGTACTGGAGCATGATCCAGCTTATAACCCTCAGAATTCATTGCTGACTGACTTCAGAGACTTTACTGGCTACAACACTAAGCCCCTGATTATACAGAGACGAGATACCATAAACAAAGAGCGTTTAAAAGGCCATTATCCTCGGTCCACAGGCAGCGTCAGGCCAAGCAGCCGATTACGTCTGCTGCTGTTTTGCAAGGACTGACACGCCACAGCTCCTCTCCACTTAGAGCACTGACCGTGGCCAAACGGGCTCCCATTTAAGGAGTGAGATGAAGTGTTGACGCCTTCTCCTTTTAGCCCCATCTCTGGGCTTAGTGCTCCGTTCACCTACTCCGCAGTGCGAGGCCTAGCCCCCAACATTCTCCTCACGCCCCACAATCTCCCCTGCCAGCGGCTTCGCAGCCAGCTTTCCCGCTCAGAATTCCGTTCTAGGTGGAGGTTGTATCCAAGTGGCAGGCTGGGAGCTAAGGAGCAGTGAGTGCCCTCTTCCAAGGGAAAGTGAGTATCTTGACCAGCAACTTCAAGAAGGGCGAAGGGGGCCCTATGCTTGTGTCTTCAGGAAAGCCTCTGCATTTGGTCTATCGTCTCTTTCTGCACATTGTCACTAATCTCTACACAGCCACTCACCTTTGCTTGGGGTTTGTGCTCTGCCCTCTGCCTTGGTTAGCCTAGTCCTTCTGCTCTGCCACCAACATCTACTGTCAGACGTGCCTGCCCTCTCACTCGGGTTTGCTGCCGAGTCAGGCAGGGGTTGCGTCCCTGCCACCTGCCTCAAGAGGACGGTTTCTGTGCACTGGGGTGGGCAGAGACCTCATCCTTACTGTGCTCTGGTTCATTTCAATGCGTGTCTCTGCTCCCCCCACACCCCAGCTGCAGAGTCCCCTGTAGAAATCTGATCTTGCTGAAGGGTGTAGACCAGCAGGTAGATCCCGAGGTCAGAGGCCTTAGAAACACCCTAGGCAGATCTCTGTCCCTGCCAGTCCGTTAGGTGGCAAGGATGATGGTCGCACAGCCAGGTGCTCCAGCTCTGTTCCAAATCTACCCCTTCCCCCAGTTACCCCTTCTGCTCTCCCAGAGCAGGGAGGGCTGGCCTCTGTGCGGGAGCAGAGACAGCCCAGCGAGATCGCAGCAGCAGTCAGGGTGCCCGGCACAGCTGCGGACTGGTCAGGGCTAGGACTGAGGGCACATGCGTAAAGCTTCATGGGACTCAAAAGGCCGCTCTGACCAATGAAGCGCGCTAGGTCCATCAACTCCTGGGAGTGTGGGGGAGTCTGAGTTTGTGCTCAACTCCCCAGAACACACCAAGGGGCTAAGCAGCAGCACTGAACCCTCCAAGCTGCAGGCTGGCGCTGTGCCAGGAAAGGTGCCACCTTACAGCTGCTGGTCAGTGGTTAACGATGCTCCACTGTCCAGAGCAGGTCACCCCACTGGCGCGCCTGGCAGAAGTCACAGAGCTTCGCTATAACCCACTCCAAGAATGCCACGGGCTACCTATGCAATGACACTGCCAGCTCAGCCCCGGCGCAGTGCGCAGCCCAGACCCGGGAGCTCACTCAACCCCGCACCCTGGGACCAGCGCAAGGAGATTTCCAAACACACAACAACACGACCACCTCTCAGCGAGCAGCCTTTGCTGCTGGAAACCGCCCAGGGCAGCAGCGTGTCTTGGACTACACAGGATTGGTCTCCTGTAGGACAGACAGACGCACTGGGCATTTGTGACTGTCAGACATTTTCAAGTAATGACCGTTCTTTACAGATCCTCCACAGAGATTTGGCCTCTGAGATTCAAATCCTGGATTATTACCCATGGCTAGTACCCAACTCATCCTTCGGACGCTCGTTTAGAGAGCAAACACACTCTGCTTTTAGGCATAATGAATCTTTACAGATAAATCAGACGGGGATGGAACCCAAGCGTAGGATCCAGGGAAGGGTCCCCGGAAATTTTATCTGATACCATCTAGGCAGCTCTTGTGCTAAAAGCAACTCCCTGCTGCTGTACTGGTCCTGGGCCCCAGTCAGAGAAGGGCTGCAGGGAAGTACAGGCAGGCAGGCATTTCGGTCACTCACCAAGACAAAACAGAAACCCTCCTTTCACAAACCTTTTCCAGAAGGCGCTCCAAGCTCCAGGAGGCTGCAGCTCCCCTGTGAAGCACCCCCATAGCAATGAGATCATTGGGTGGGTTTACGAAGCCAGCAGAGAGAGACTTTTTTCAAAACTGTTTTGGGGACTCGGTACTGTGCCCTGAGTTTCTCCAGTTGCGTCCCTTTCCCACAGAACCTCCCTCAGTGGAGGCTTTGCAGGGAATAAGGCAGTAGCAGCTTCTTATTCAGCGTGGTTTGCAGTTTGTATTGTTATACAAACGTGGCAGAGGCAGCCAAGTGTCAGCCCCAGCAGCGAGGGCAGATCCTGTCTCCTCCTCGGGAGGAGAGCTGCCACTATTCTGTTTCCAGCCCTGAGGAAGAGCCCAGCACTCACCCACTCATGAAGGAAGCCGTAGGGATGGGGTCTTTCCTGCTCCATTTGATCCAGGGCACTGAGTAGGAGCTGCAAAGGAGCAGGAGGAGAGTTTCCAAGCCGAACACGTCAGGAAGGAGGAAGCGGAGCTGGGAGATGCAGACACAACAGTGCACTGAGGAAATGTGTTTATCTCAGACTGCGCCTGGGAACACAAGAACTAAGCAGCAGGAACTGAGCCACGGCTCCCCGTGCAGCTCTGCTGGGTGACAGACCTGGGGAGGAAGGCAGCAAAGGGAGGTTGTGACCTCAGAGGAGACACCAAGCTCAGGCAGCTCCAAAAGGAGCCACAGAGGCATGCGTCAGAGAGGGAGAACAATGACCAGGCTTTACTATTACTAACAATACGTTAAGTCCCACCTACAAGCTCCATGATCACAAGCCACAAATAAAGCCAGTCCCTGCCCCAAGGCGCTTACAGTCCCCGCTCCGATCCTGCAAACACGTCCACAGGGGAGTAAGGTGGTGCACACAGTCACCCCATGGAGCCCAGTGGGACTGCTCAAATGCATCCAGCTTTGCTAGGTCTGGGACTAGAAGACAGGCCTAGAGGAGACAAGCCTCCCTGGGAGAGGCAGGGGAGGGCGGGGGCAGTTGGTCAAGGCAGCAGTCTGTGGAAGATGAATGGGAAACCCTAATTTATCGCAGACAGAGACGGGTGTCTGGGAATGCAATGCTGGGCACTCTCCTGCCACCTCTGCCTCAGCGCTGGAGACCTGCCCGAGGAAGTGACGGGGGTTACGGGCAGGAGAGAAAGAGTATCCAGGAGACACAGCTCAGGGGCTGGAACTGCTCCCGCCGGGGATGGGAACACTGGACTTTTCTCAAAGAGCAGCAAGATACTGAAGACCATTTCTCCCCGAGGAACAAGGTCGCGAAGGAGTCAGCTGTTAGAGACAGTAAAGCTGGTGACAGCAGGGCTTGCCCACCCTGGGCCCACAGCAAGACTGAGCATGAAGCTAGACCTATATTAAATCCTACTTCCAGTCAGGGCTCCTGGGCACCAGGGTCACAAGTGGGAAGGACCAGATCTTCCTCCCCAGACCCAGTGCTAGGCTCAGGTGAGCTGCTCCCATTTAGCTGGCCAGCCCCATCCAGCTATGTCCT